ACAATTGGGTCAACTAAATTAACTAAATCTGCCAAACCAACTTAATAAATATTCAATAGTTAGAGCTTGAGGTGGCACACCACTTGGAATTGGGTATGGCTGGCTGATGACGGCCAATAAACCAGAAATGGTCATCCCAACCTGCCTGGCTATTATCGGTAATGTTCTCCTGCCTATACTGTCAGCCACTGAACGGCTACGGGAGGGGCTCGAGAGAGAGAGAGAGAGGGAGACCCAAGTAAGAACGGGACGAGTAAGTTCCGTTAGCGATTGGTGAGCGCCTATGCAATAATGTGGAGAAAAAAAACAAACCTGAAGCGTCGTCAGGGGTATGCTGCGCGCGTCCTTACATCGGAAGCCAAGAAGCCACAAGGCCAACGATGGACCGGAGTGATGCGTAAGGTTTTGGAGAATCAGGTGAAGCAGTACTGTCTTAATGGATGTGGCGCCGCTGCGAGAAAGCAGTCCTAAAGAAGATCGTGGAAGGCAGTAAGAAAACATTGCTTAGGCAAAGGATAAAACGGACATACCATATTACACCTGGAATAACGGAATTATATTGTATACTAAAGCTGGCTTATAATACAAAGGAGACACGACGAAACGGATGATTATCGTGATTCTAAAATGGTCAATGAGAGTTGAAAACGCGATTTAATGAAGCTCAGTCCACAATAACTGAGTGAACGCTGATCATAACGTATATTCCACGTCGGTTCTTTAAACTTCCCAGTGTTCATGCATCTACTGTTTGCAGTAATTAGGCTGTAATAAAGACGAGGAAGTCAGAACTTCACAAGGAGCTAGGTTACAGGATGAAATCTACGTCAGTCTGTTTAGACCGTCAGCAATCGGACAAGGACTTGTGAACATTTATTATCAATGAATGATGGTTTCTCATTCCCTTCTTCAGAAAACAATGGCTTACCTAATTTGATCATCTAGAAACTGTGTTCTAATATTCGAGTCATTTGTTCTAGGCGAACAAAATTATATGAGGTAGATCGGCGAAAAACTGACAACTTTTTTCCACTAAAAACGATTTTCTCGTTAGAAATTCGGGGTAATATTTTCGAAAGACAAGAAACTCTTGTTGAAAATAGAAACAGATATGTAAGTTTCAGAATAGTGCTTAGTTAAATGTGCATGCATACACATGCGTCAGGCTGAGTAGACTCCAAGTAATAAGGCTTAGGAATAAACTCACGAGGGAACCAGATACGACCACCGTCGGCAGAAACAGAACTCGGCATCTCGCCAGCAGTTACTTGAGATTTTGGGAGAGAGGCCATCAGTTCCCAGTTCGACTGTGAAAAATCCCAGTCGACCGGTAGGGTGGGAACAGCAGCGCAGAGACGAGCCGTCTGGAGGGCAGGATGAGGTGCACAGCCTGACATCAAACCCACCGATGTAAGGTCCTCGCTGAGATCAGCTGGCCAAAGCCAAGCGTCCGTAAAGACCTGACTGCACTCAGTGTCGGCTTCCGCATCAAGTGGGCTATGGTCGCCAACCTCAGCAGTAGATGGAGAGTAGAGACCAGCCAGAGTAAGGCAGGAAACAAGGGCGTGCAAGAGCTCCTGTTCAGACCTCTACGAGGCCGAAGAAGAAGGGAAAAAGAAAGTGTCGATGAACTACAAAGAGCCGAGGACTTGGGCAAAAAGCAGAGCAGTTAAACTGTCCCAAAAGACGATGCATTTTACCTTTTCGCCAGTAAAAACGGCAAGTACAGCTTCATGAGGTTCGAAGCTGCGGACAACACTGGACAGGATACTCAAGGCCGACTTGCAGTGGTCCGGAAATTCTTCCAAAAGACAACAGTACCTGGACAAAGAGGCCGGAAAGGTGATATTAGATAGGCTTACGGGGATTTGTAAATAGGGGCAGGTCGGTAAGGATAACTTATATGGCTGCCCAAGTAATAAAGG